TGCGCATGAAATCCGTTGCGCTTCGGGGAAGGCGCAATTAAGATCGCATCGGAAAGCGCTTTTCTCCGTCCGCTCGGCCACGCGGACAAATGAATGTCATTCATTTCAGAACGGGAGAGAAGCGTTGCCGAAGCAAAACTCCAAATGAAAACAAACAAGCCATCGAGCAAACAAACAAACCACAAAAAAAAGAAGGAAAATAAAATATGAATGGCCTGAAATGTTGTTTTTGAAAAATGAAATCGCCCCTCCGATCTTTTCCTTGCGGCTTATTTGTTTGCATTTAATTGGCAGGGGAGGAAAGGAGAATTGTGGCTGTTTTTTGTAACACCCCCGTAGCTTTCCCGTTTGCTTTTGCAATTCTCTTTCATAGCCAGGCTAACGGGGATCCAGCCAGGTCGGAAAATACAGAAAGATCACACCTAGGTTAAAGGCTCGCGTTTCTAATTAACCGAGTCTGATGGCCTCTAATGGAATAATTAGAGGGGGAAATGAGGGGGGGGGGAGGAGAGGAGACTTACTGGCCTAATAAATCCCTTTCAAGCCAGCTCTCAACCACAGTCCCTTTAAAAAGGTCCCCTTCAAACAGAAGCGACACTGCGAAGTTGTGCAGCGACTTTTCATTCAGCTTGCCAGAAAGAAACAGAAATATATTCCGCAGGGACACCCTGTCACTTCCCTGCCCCCAAACTTAATTCCCGGTATTTAGGATCGAGGTGTCAAATAAGTTCCCTGAAACCCCATTAACAAAATCCGGGGGAGCTCCAATATGGCCAAGAAAACCATCCGGATTGAGAGCGTCACACGCGAGATGGAGACGCCAACTAGTTCGCTGAGCTAAAGGGCTCTTGGGTCAAAAAAGGAAGAGAAGCCACTCCTAGGGTCAACCCTCGTCCGAATTATTACTAGGAGGTCTCAGCCTCCCAAAATACGGCTGCATTTGATGCAAGAGTAAACCACTTGGAAAAGCATTTTTACGGACGTGGTTCCTAAGAGCCACCTCGACCGTGCGGAGGGGGAGACATCCCGCCCCAGATTAAGTCGCTCAGACGCGGCCAGGCTTTTCCCCTTTTTAAAGCGGTGATGCAGAGACGCGTTTCCCCCGCAAACTCCGCGGCACGGAGACTTTCCCTTTCGCAGAGACTTTCCCTTTCTGCGCCGCTTTGGCAGGAGGCGCCCGCACGGCGGCCCGGCCGCGGGGGCCGTGCCG